CATTTTTTATTAATGCAACAAGGCATGTTTAAACCACCATTTTTCATATTTTTGTGTTTTTTGATTTTTTGACTTCTTCGAGTTGATCCAAACAAATTTTATGATTTTGATTGGTTGATCTATAAAAGGTCACATGGGTACAAGGCTTTAGCGGACCCCAGAGATAGAGATCCTCATTTTCTGCTGCGATAGGCCCCAAATTCTGCCTGCTTTACAAATCAGTTTATATGCATTATGCAATAAATTTTTTAGAATTATGCTGCAAATTATGCGAGTCAAGTAAAATTATGCGAAAAGTTGCAATTTTTATATCTTAAACCCGATTAAACTATTGAAACTAACCGGCTTCAAATTATAATTTTGACTAGAGGTGTGAATGCTTGCCATAATATAATGTGTTATAGCAAAAAATGCCTGTAACTCATTATAGTTATTAGCTACATTATTACATTCACACCTATAGTTATCAAAAATTAATTCTAATTTTTTACGTGCTCGTGTTAATTTTTTGTCTATATTTCCGAATTCTCTTGGTACCAATACGACTTCCAATAAGATTACAATTATATTTATTCTGTTCTAACTTTATTATTTTATGCGCAGATTATGCTCTATTAATTATGTGAAATTAGCCCTGATATGCCAATATGCTATCGCATATGCTTTTGCGATATAATCTGCAGATTATGCTATCGCAAATCGGCGGTATCCCTACCCAGAGGGAGGGAGTACACGGATCCTAGACCATTTAATGTGAGTCCGGTTATTTCTTTGCTGATCTAAAAAATTTTCTATTACCGAATCGATAAATTACTGATATCTGAGTGATATTTTCGTGCTCATCACATAAGCACTGGCCTAAGAAGTTAGTGTTAGGGTTAGGTGATAATTTAGTTTAGGCCAATTTGTTAGTGCTAGTAAACATTGACGTCATTGTGTGATTTCACGGGATGTGATGATCACTGAGTTCAGTGTTCCTCAGATTTCAACAATTTGATATGACTTATAATAAGGTTGTGACTGTATCAGGAGTGACTATAACGAGGTTTGACTGTATTTGCATTTTAACAACCGTATAGTTTTTAACGAAAATTAAAAAAAAAAAAACCACTATAATTATCAATTGGTGCCAAAAAGTTTAATTATAAAGTACCCTAAAACATTCCCAAAATTCTGGGTCAGAATACTGTCAGAATGCATCGAAATCATGGCTGGTTGGCTGGAATTATTAATTTGCCCAAGATTACTAAAAATTTTACTAATATAATTTAATACATCAAAAAATACAATCTATTGGTTATCAGTGATTTGGCCATCAGGACAATCTCCTGGGCTGGCATTAAGCAATACTAGATAAGCTTCTTTTTTTTTTTTACTTAATGAATGGCTATGACTTTAAATTTAAGAATTTGGGACATCCGAAAATGAGCACTAAGTTTTTAAGACAATCCAAAAACCAACTCTACTAGGCATATCTTTCTTATAATTTTTTTTATAAAAGTTGTTAACTCCAGATTATTGGATTTTAAAGAAAACAATGATCACGGAAAATGACGATTATAGATTTCCCGGCACCATGACCAATATATACATTATACAGTAGACCAAATCGGTCAGCATAAAGTTGATTGATAATAATTGTAAAGATCAATTTACACTATAAAATAATAAAATCGAGATTACAAAACTCTAATACATTGATGTTATTTTTTATTACACGTCTTTTAATATATAATTACATAATGTAATCTGATTGTTTTTAACATTGATTGTCTACAAAAATGATTATATAATTATTAATAATTAATATGATTTTTTTTTCTTAATATGATAAGTGTATCAAGTTGAGTCACTATCATCGTCATTACTATTATAGTCAGTATCTTCTTCAGAATCTTCTTCAGATTCATCAAATCTTAATTTTGTGGAACTGTTTCCATTATTATTATTATTACGTTGATTTTCACCAGGGATAAAACTTAATAATGGTTGAATGTTCGCATTTCTTAAAGAAATTGTATGTTTTGTATCAGGTTTAGCATCAATTTCAAGTAATGTTCTACCTGTAGTTATAGGTGTTGTCTTTGGTGAAACACTTCGAGAACTCGTTATTGGTGTGTCAATCGTTAATAACGGACCACCACTTGATAATTTTCTATTTATTCCATCATGATTATCGGATTGTTCTTTTGCTAATAATGATCCTTCATTAAAACGAACACCTTCATCTGCTTGTAAGAAATAATTTTTATGCGTTGGACTAAAATCAACGGGAGATTGTTCTTTGCTTTTTGCTAATAATGAACCTTTATTAAATTGAACACCATAATCTATTTGTACTAAAAGACCTGGGCGCGTAGGACTGGTTTCACTAGGAGATTGCTCTTTACTTTTCGCTAATAATGAACCTTTATTATAACGTACACCTTCATCTATTTGTACTAAAAGACCTGTACGCGTAGGACTAGTTTCACTAGGAGATTGTTCTTTACTTTTCGCTAATAATGAACCTTCGTTAAACCTAATTGTATTTATTTGTATTGAATTTCCGGTGGGCGATTGATTTGTCTCATTATAACTTTTACTTAATAATGATCCTTTGTTGAATTTTACAGTATCATCCAGTTGTACAAATGTATTTCCATTTGGATCTTTAATAATACCGATCCCAGCATTTGCGCGACGAATTCTTTCACGTTCTTTTGCCTGTTCAAATAATGTATCATTTGAAGCTAGTAGAGAACCTTTTGCAAAAGTAAGCTGTTCAACTTCGGTAGGTTTTATAGGTAGATTTTTCTCATCAAAACTCAATAGAGAACCACTTTTAAATGGACCAGGTGTTACGGGAGAATTTGTTTGTGTAAAATCATTAGTAGAGTGATCACTCGATCCTTGGGGTGTTTTTTTAGAAGGACTGCGCACATGACGACGTAAATTATCCCATTGACTAGATTGAGTATATGGTGTTTCCGCTATAATTGGGCTAGGAGCTTTCTGTCGCAAAAAAGAATATTCCGGTTAGCTAAATGAGTTAAAATTGGATTGCCAAAAAAAGAAAAAGAAATTAAGCCTCTGCCTGTGAAATACTTGTTGACGGTGGATCAATGCTTGTTTGCGAAGATATCTTATCAGGTACACCAAATAGATCAGGTCTGTCTTGACGAATTAGATTATTCTATAGATGTGAAAATTAATAAAATTAATTATAAAGTAACAATTTGAAACGGTTTGAATAATTTGAATACAGAAGTCATTATAATTCAAGCAAAAAAAAATTTTTTTTTCCTTTAAGCATGAATAATTTTGATAGCAACAATCAATTATGTTTAACAAGTTTTATAGAATTTATTATCAGAAGTTGTTAAATTGCCATCAAATTATTCATGTTTAAGACTTTAGTATAAAAAATAATTTTTTTTGTCGACTTCACCATGTAATAATTATAGTAAATAAGAAACCTACTTTTGCAGCTCTAATACTTAAAACCCAATCATTATTTTTCTCCGAATTATCTGCACACAAGAAATGAATATAATCATCTGGATTTTCAAATAAAGAAATTTTTTCTTGAGATTTTAATGCAAAACCAAATTTGGTTGGTTGCCTTCTTCTCAATTGTGTACATGTATACACATCAAATGAATTCATTGAACAAAGAAGAACTTCATTTGTTCCCTATATTTTATTTAATATTTTATTTAACAAGAGTTAAAACCATTTAAAAGGTACCAAAGAGGAATTTAAGAGAATTTGTCAAGAGTTTACGATAATTTACGATAATCTTACCTTTGAATCTTTGCTATGATATAAAGCACCATCTTTTACTTGGCAATACCGTTTTTTCCATTTATTTTTCTTTATTTCAACATGTAACCAACCAAACATTGGTGGTACAGCATTATCAAAAGCCTAAAAAATTTTAATATAAAATTTTTGATAAATTTAATATGCAAAAGAAAATATATTAAGTCTATTAATGGACAACCTATTGAGAACACTGGCCTGTAATGTTAATGAATTTCTGTGCGAGTATTTTTTGAGAGTAAATAAGTTAGTTTTCTCAGATTCCCAGGTTCCCATGGCTTTTGATAGGCATTCCCAATCTCTTAATGGACGTTCTAATAAAAATAATATAAATAATATAAATAATTAAAAGTTATGAAAAATTCAAAAAGAGATTTGCATATATAGAAAGAAATTTTTACCAATATGAAAATCGGTAGCTATTTCAAATAAAGCCCAAACATCATCATTCGATATTACATCATTATTGCGAAAGAAATTTAAAACATCTAGAGCTGTCATGGTGGATGATATTGAGATTTCTTTTTGTCTACGAATATGTTCGACATAAATCTAATATAATGAATTAGCATAAGTCAAATATAATGAATTAGCATAAGTCAAAATTTTTATGAAGAAACTTAGTGATTAAATTTGACATACTTTTATTTCTGATGTAATAAGACCGTCTTTTTCATTTTCATGTTTGGTCTATAAATAAAAATAATAATTTATGTTATTTATAAATAGTCAAGTGTAGCCAAGTATAGAGCTATGTTTAGCGCATACTAATCTTAAATAATTGATATACCTTTTCACGACGAGAATGTTTTTCCATTAATAACCCATATTCTTTATTACGGGCAGCCTTTTCAGATTTTTCTATTTCATCATACTCTCTCGATCTAGATACAGCACGGCTCCTTTCGTCAGGTTCACGAGTTCTCGATTTTGCACGACCACGTTCATCAACTTCACGAGTTCTTGATTTTGCACGATCACGTTCATCAACTTCACGAGTTCTTGATTTAGCACGATCCTTCTCATCAGTTTCACGAGGTTTAGATTTAGCACGTCCACGTTCTTCAAAATCAACTCTAGATTTAGCACGTCCACGTTCTTCGAAATCATTTGTTTTCGATCTAGCCCGACCACGTAATGGCTTATTATCATCATCTTCACTTTCTCTGATTCTATTAGTTCTAGTGGAAAACTCTCTATAATCATTAGATTTATCACCATCTCTTACGTAAGGGGATCTTATATCTTTAGAATCATCAGACGTATATTCACTAGCTTTAGAATCTTTACGAATTCGTTCAACTCTTGTATAAGCGGATTTCGAATTTATATCTTTAGAATCATCAGATGCGTACTCACTAGCTTTAGAATCTTTACGAATTCGTTCAACTCTTGCATAAGGAGATCTCATATTTATATCTTTAGAATCATCAGACATATATTCACTAGCCTTAGAATCTTTACGAATTCGTTCAACTCTTACATAAGGAGATCTCATATTTGGATCTTTAGAATCATCAGACATATATTCACTAGCTTTAGAATCTTTACGTATTCGTTCAACTCTTACGTAAGGAGATCTCATATTTGGATCTTTAGAATCATCAGACATATATTCACTAGCTTTAGAATCTTTACGAATTCGGTCAACTCTTGCATAAGGAGATCTGGTATTTGTATCTTTAGAATCATCAGACATATATTCACTAACTTTAGAATCTTTACGAATTCGTTCAATTGGTACATTATCTTTTTCTCTTAAATTTGACCTTGACCCAGAATTATTAAGAGATTTATCATCAAATTCTTTTTGTTTAAACTTTTCAGAATCAACATTTTTTATTTCAGAAGTTCTAAATTTCTCTTTTTGAGATAGAGTAGGAGTTTCGGGTATTTCTTCAGAAAGGTTTTGATATTTAATAGGACGACGACCAGTTGGAACACGATTAAATTTTGGTTTTAAAATATCAAGAGAAATATTTGAAGAAGGAAGAGGTACTTTAGGAATTATGAGAGGAGAAATTTCTTTATAATTTGACGTAATAGATTTTACGGATGTATAAAGATTTTCACCATCTTCACTACTATCATCATCATCATCATCATCACTAATATCATCACTACTATCACTATCACTATCACTTTCAGTATCGATAATATCAGAAGAACTAGTTGAATCAAAATCATAATTATTATTATAATCAAAGATATTTTTTGCCAAAGTTGAATTATTCATTTTTAATAACATGCTGTTATTAAGTGAATTTGAATTATTATCAAGAGGGGAAATAGATGATTTAACTTGATTTGTTAAAACATCATCAGATCCTGAAGGTTGCATACTTAAAGATTCGGTGACTTTTGAATATGAAGAACTACTAGGCATTGACGGAGAAAAAGTCAAAGAATTTTTATCAGTTATTGTAGACGATGAATTTAAATTAGGGTGATGTGATGAAGGTATGCTAAATGTAGTAGTAGTAGTTGTTGTTGTTGAATTTGAATCGTTGTTTTCTGACGAAGGGGATGATGTGGTGAATGTAGTGGAAGTAGAGGATTTAGCGGGTATTGTAGATGTAATGGGTGTAGAGTATGTGTGAGAAGTCGAATCACTCCTTTGCCTGAAGGTAGGAACTAATTTGGAAGATTCTTCTTGATTATCCTTTAATGATGAATCTACATCATTTTCAACAGTTTGTTCTTTTTCATCATCACATGCAAGATCCTGAATAGATACATTATAAAAAAAATTAATTATAAAATAAAACTTGATAAAAACCTGTGTAGAAAATGTTCTTACTGCAGTCAATTCTTCCATATCTTGCACCAATTGGGAAAACATTAAATCCAATTGTTTTTTACTCATTTTCACGCAATTTTAATTTTTTTTGCAAATGGAAAATAAAAATGATAAAAGAAAAAACAACTATTTTTATCTTTAAAGAAGCTTTAGGATAATTGTGAAGTTCGGAATTGAATTTTTTTATTATTGATGCTTTTTTTTTAAAAAAAAAAATTATATTAATAAAAAAAAAATAATAGTATTTTTTTTTTTTGAAAAGAAGGAAATAAAACAAACTTAATTTGTTGTAATTATTATTTTCTGTGAATAAATGAAATTAGGTAGTTGATAACTTTACGTAAGAAAAAATAAAAAGTAAAAAAAGAACAAATTAAAAATGTTAAGTTTATTCACTTATACATTATTATATATTAGTATTATTATTATTATTTATTATTTTGTTTATTTTCACAGAAAATAAAGTAAAAAATGTTGTTCCGAACTTGCACGATTGCAAATTTTCTAATTTTCTATATTTATATATTTAGTCAAAATATGTTGCACTTGATAATTGTACAACCAGTGATTGTTTTCCTTTTATTAAACTGCATTGCTTGATCAACCGAAGATCTATCGTGCATGATTAACTAATTAGCGGATTACGGATGAAGAAAAATCCAACCATTTAGTATAAGACTCAGGATACAAGAATATTATTATTGGTCCATCTGTCAATAATTAATTTCATAATTGTAAATAAAATGTAGTAATTTGCATAATTAGATATCAATTATATATCTGATATATCGAATATTGTGAATTATACGTAGTATATATTTCAAAGTTTCAAAGTTAAAATTAACCTATATGTATATTGTATGTATATTGTATGTATATTTGTACATATGTATATTTTTTTATGTATATATTGTATACGTATACGTATGTAGTACATATATAAATAATTTACGCACAAAATTAAATTCACAATTATGTATGCAAATTACAATTTTCTTTGTTCGAGACAAAGTTTGGAAGCTTTATCAAATATACATGTTTAATGTCTTTTTGATTATCAATAATATAGTCACAGGGGATAATCGGATTTTCAAAACTGAAACATTATTTTGTCATAGTACCAAACTGTACGAAACTCTTCAAAGTTATCATATCAGTATTAATGTTTTTTAAACAAAATGGCTAGTAACATTGTCTTGTGCTGAGATGCGAAATTGATATTTGTTGTATGAAACATGTGACTTTTGCTTTTGTTCTTATATTTATAATATATATATATATATAATTTATATAATTTTATAGATTAACGTTAATGATCTCTTGGATCATATGCATATTTGGATGATCAGTAAAGATAAATGAGATTTTTGATTTCGTAATTTTGCTTTTAATGACTGATGATTCTAATTCAAATGTATACAAACTTCCATACAATAGGATTTTATACCTACGCAATCTTGCTTCAATTAAATGCATCCCTTTTATATGTTTATTCTTTAGAATTTTCTAGCGTGTAGTAAACAATTATATAACGATAATAAAATCGAATTTAAATTCTTTATTGGTGTTTATAACTTAGATTTCTGGTTTTTGTTATGCAAATCCTAGTGTTTATTTTGCAATATATTTTTAGTACTTTAGTATTAATCTCTTTATGTTTTTAAGCTAAATAGCTTAGAAAACTGATCTATTTTTAGTATATTTTTTAACAAAAAATTTTTCAAAAGCAAAAAATAAAAAAAATTATAAATTTTTTAACAATCTTTTTGAAGATTAGTTTTAAACTATGTTATAATTTATATAAAAGTATATCAATTTTTATTATCATATTTATTTATAAAAATTAAACTTATGTTAGAAATAAAAATTTTTAAACATAAAAAAATTTTACAGTATTAATATAGTTTTATTTATAATAAAAATTAAATAAATTTATAAATTTTATTTATAAATTAATAACAATTAATAATAATTTAACGATAAAATTTTTTAAATAATTTTAAAACAAAATAGAATATATCTAAATATACTATATTAAGAGCTTATATTAAAAAGTAAAAATTAAAACAAAGAGGTTTAACTTTTAGAAAAGCATTAGATAAATATACTTTATTTAAAATATAACAAATAAATATATAGATCACAATTCTAACTATTTAAAAATGTGCAAAAAATATGTATATGTTTAGTAAGTTTTATAAAAAGTTAAAAGTTTTTTTACTATTTATTAAACCTTTTTTAGATTCTTTGAAATTACAGTATATCCTGCATATTGCAGTATTGATGTTTGTTTCTTTATATAAACTCTAATAATTATAAATTATTGTATAGTGAGTAAAAAAAATATTTGATTTATCCACTGATCCATACCCATATTATCATTAATTAAATAATGTGACTCTAGAATAATATAAACTCGAAATTTTAGTTTTTATATTTAAAAATTTTTTAATGTTATCAGTTATTTACAGCATTAATTAATTCTAAAACAGAATAAAAAAAATCCGTACTAGTGATTGTACCTGAGTAGAAAATGTTATTATAAGCTATAATAAAATTACTCGGTTAACCGGGTAATTTATCAATACTCGGGTAGAAATTTTCTTGACGGATACAATCTTTAATCAAAGTTTGGTATGACAGTAACAATATGCCGTACGATAATAGTAAATACTATAAGAAAAAAGAACCAAATAAAAAGATAACTATCCTACTACAGCTGTTTAAACAAGTTAGATACATAAAATAGAAACGGTCTAATGATTGCATGTTACATCTGTAAAGCTACCCCTATAAAAAAAAGTTAATCCGTGTTTTCTAATACATCTTTTATCCATTAAATGTTGCATATTCTTGGAATTTATCTTCAAATGATGGAATTTATTCGGTCTCTCCCGATCATGTCGCAGATTCACGGGGTGCTTACAAAGAATAAGGAGATAGAATAGAAATATTCAAATAAAAATTTTTATGGGGAATCACTTATTATAGAATAGTAAATACTATGTATAATGTACGTAGTAAAAACTGTCGAATCGTAAATTCATTGTGATTATTATATATTTACTATGGTGAACGCACCTACATAGTGTATTTTTTTTTTGATTTATAAGAATGGGTTGACTATGGGATGATTGACATGACATGCCGTATGGCATTATCTGAAATTCTAATATATATACATATATATACCACGTATAAACATTGATTTTGGTTAGCCAATCAAATTATTTATAAGAAATTTAATATAATTTTATTAATAACCGGTGCCTAATAAGCTTTAAAAATTAGGCTCCTTGTCATAAACAAATAAGCAGCCCCGTGATTTTTATGCAGTTTTGACTAGAAAGGTTATAATATTGTATCAAACTAATAAATATATATCATTATTATAAGAACTTAAGAAGGTATCGCCGATCCACTGATTTCGATTTATATTTGCTAGAATATATTTCAAGGGGAACGATTTATTTCCAAAAGTAATTCTACTAATCTACTGTGATTTTTTTTTTTTGTCACATTCCTGTCCAATCTGTGTCCAATCTGTAAATATGGTTAAAAACTAATTGAAATGAAGATGGCAGTCGTAAGATAGTGCGTGATTGATTAGCACAAGTTAAAATCAAAAATATTAGTATCTGATATGTGACATATGTAACTTTTATGTAACCTAAAGCTAGCCTATATTTTATAATTTTTAATAAGCCAATATAAGCTAGCTTTAAGTTACATTTAAGTTATATATCAGATACTGATATTTTTGATTTCAACTAGTGTAGAATTTCCAGGAATCCGTTGGTCTGATAAATTCTAGCTTAGTTTATGCAAAATCTTTTAAGAAACATTCACAAGCCGAAGAAGGCAAATCGGACTCCAACCAGCATCACGTAAAGATATACTGTTCATATCGGGAGTATGATACAAATCGGGCTCATATAAGCGTATCGGAATGCCGATAGTTGGTAATCAATAAAGTTTGCTTATATCGATTAATCTATAGAGCCATCGGCATTTCGATATGTGGTCCGGTCTTAGACTAATAGACCACAGTTAGTCTTAAGACCGGTCTGAACCTAAAAAAAATTGGTCTGCTCTAATTCTTAAGGCTGGACCGATCTGGACTAGCAAAGCCTTAAGACTGAAGACAATAATCCAGACTTGGACCAAAATTAACCAGACTGAACCAGGCCGGACGTTAACATCCCTAACCCTAAAGGTTTCCTATTTGCACCGGGATTATAGAAGATCAGTATGGTATGCTACGAATGACCGAGCCAGTATCGAAATTATAAAATAATACCATACTGATCAGCTATAATTGCTAACCCTAACGCTATATATAACACCAGATCAGTATGATACGATTTTAAAATTCGGCCTGCTCTATACCCCATACCATACTGAACTTCGTAACTCCTATTTGCGCCGAATATCTGTTTCAAATCAGGTTCATATCGGGATTACGTTGCAACACGAAAGTTGTTCTATAGGCATAATTTTGAGTTATTGCCAACTTTTTTTTTTGATTGTCTGTCACCGCCAGTGATAAATAAATTTTGATATATATATATATATACCGGTATTAGTTTTATCACAATAGCGTACGTCCTGCCAATAAGCCTAAGACTGGCGGATTCCGCTTAAGCAGATAGCATGCAATAGTGCGCAAAAGCCGAATTCAGCACAGATTCTGCTGTAGTATATTTTCTGAACGCCTAATGATTGACGAGTTTAGTAAGGCCACTCCAAATTGATTCTTCGTTTAACATTACTTTAAATAGTTCAAAAGAATGGGAGGGTATACAAAATACACAAATTAAAAAAATACTGCAATTCTATTGGCTGCAAAAATATAGAAAATATAAAAAGTTAATACTGCAATTTGATTGGTTAATTGATGAGTATATTTTTATAAAATTTTGAAAAATAAGGAGGTGGGTATTATGTTAAACAAAGAATTAAATTGGCTTGGCCTAATCGGAGTAAATTGGCTTTAGGAATTAGGAAATTAAATTAGAAGGGGCAGAAAACTCATTATGTTTCATCATTTTCTTAAAAGTATAAAT